TTGAAGAAGATCTTCATCCAGGGCCAATTCTTGACCCCCATGAAGGCGCGAATGTTCCACTGGATCACAAGTAGCGCGTCTCTGTATTTTTAGATATAGATGTAGTCATTGTGCAACAAAGCTTTCTAAAAATTCTACTTTACCTTTCAAAATGTTTAAAACAAAACATTTAGGAGTAGAGGTACCTGCGTTCTACAATCTTCTGGAATTCAATTCTTGCCAGAACACCTCGGGATCTTGCTTGGATCCTTGTTATAATTAAAGCCAAGCGATCATCTCGCATCTCTTCCAGCAGACCTAGCAGCCCAGCTTTGAAGAACACCTGATTTGTGCAAACATCTTATCAATAATGTTCAAGTCAAACATTTATTGGTACATATTATTATGTTGCTACCACAAGCACATTAAAGTTAAGTATTCAGTGTATACACTTGAAAATTATTTATTAAAAAAATAAGCTCAAATGGCCTTTGTAAAACTTTCTAACATTGAAGAAAAAACTAACATGATGTATATTTACAATTTAATCTAAGGTGTTGCTTACCTTGGTGTGCCCTAGTTTGTACTGGTTGTGGTCAATATCCAAAGAACCCAAAAGCTTCTCTGAGGCTTTTTTATTATCAATGAACTGTCCCTCAGGTATGGAACTTGGGTTCAGAATACGGTATCTTTAAATGAATGTGGAAAAAATAAAAAAAACAAACGATTAATGACATTACAGACATTTAAAAAGATAATTAAATTAGAAACAGGTCAAATGTAATATTTATGTTAGCCAGGTTCCGTACTGTTGGATAACAGTTTAGCAGCACAGAATAAACATTTCTAACTTTTTATTTTCTTCTCTGACTAATTTTTCTTTCTCCCTCTTCAGACCAAGAGTTTCTGTTTAGATCTTTTTAAATGTGGATCTTGATTAATTCCAACCTCTGCTTGAAATCTCCATAGAGGATCCTGTTGGGGAAGCCCTTCCTGCAGATCCTGATGCCTTCCAGCACACCGTTACAGCGCAGCTGGTGCATGACCAGAGGGTTCTCCATGGCCCCAGGAGTCTTGGTCTCATTGGGGATGATGCAGCGTACAAAGTGAGGGTGAGTGGACCTTAAGTTGGTCATCAGCTTGTTCAGGTTTTCCTGAAAGTACACAGCAGGTGTTATAATTGATTATCTACATCATTAATATTACAATTCCAATGAAAGCATAAAGTTAGGTCTTGTCCATCTTACCCTGTGCAAGGCGGATACAGTTTGAAAAGATGACCCTTTCTTTTTGGTTCCCCCACCTTTCCCTTTTCCACCAGATTCCTGAACTGAAGAAAGTTACTGTCACGTCTGGTGTCTCGTCATGTCCTGATTACCAATTGTGTGCACCTGGGGTTCCCCTTCCTCGTGTGTTTAAATAGTCCTCGTTTCCCCTTGTCTGGTGCGGGGTCGTTCTTGTCTTCTTGTCTTGCCTCTTGTCCTTTCGTCCGTCGTCACCCCCACGCCAGGTTTGTTTCGTTATAGTTCTGCCACAGCCACAGTCATAGTCACGTTTTGTCATAGTCTTGTTAATCTTTATTTTGTTACTTTGTCATAGTTTTTCCACAGTCTTGTTTGCTTGCTTTGATACTTTGCCCACAGTTTGCCACAGCTTTGTTTTGTACTTTGTCTGGACATTCACCCTGTTTTTGTTCAATAAACCTTGTTCCCCTCATCTCCGCACCTGAGTCCTCCCTCCAAGACCCACCACCCTGACAGTTACAAATATTTCACATAGACATTTATCATTTTTTATATTCTTCTTATGAACTATCCTAACTAAGGTTAGCTAAACAACTGATCTGCAAAGGACTTAATAGCTGGTCAGAAAGTAAAATATCAGGCAGCAGCCTACCAGTTATTGCTACATGAGCATAACTGGTAGCACAAAGACAAAATGTATCAATTAAAGTGCTTTTAAGCAAAAATTTTAAAAACTACGACCAAAAATTGACAATTGTTTTGTGACCAAAAGCAGTGTTTCTGATATCTGTGTAGATGCATGTGTTACTGTCTTGCCCTTTCAAACTAAGGTGTCTGATTAATCTAACCTGAATCAGCTCCAGCGTAGTTTGCAAAAAGGAAGGAGAGCAGCTTGAGATTTGACTTCTGATACAGTCCAACAACAGTCTCATTCAGAGGATCTTTGTTCTTCACCAGCCAGTTGTTGATATTGTAATCAACAGTTCCAGCGTAGTGAACCAGGGCAAAATGGGCCTCTGGTTTTCCTTTGACAATTCTGGGCTTCTGGAAGTTGTTGGATTTCCCCAGGTGGTTGTCATACAGCTTAGCTTTAAAAGTGGCATCAGAGGCTTTGGGAAACATGCACTCCTCTTCAAGGATGGACATGATTCCCATGGGCTAATGGATAGAAGTACACATGGTTTAATAGGAAGACCATAGTTTAATATCTTATCTAAACACGTGTCTCTCCAGTGTCTTACCTTTTCAATCAGGTCAATACAGGCCTGCAGGTCCATGCCAAAGTCAATGAAAGTCCATTCAATGCCCTCTTTTTTGTACTCTTCCTGCTCCAGCACAAACATGTGGTGGTTGAAAAACTGCTGCAGCTTTTCATTGGTGAAGTTGATGCACATCTGCTCAAAGGTGTTGAACTGGAATGTGACAGCGGTTGTATTATTTTAACACACATATCAATCTTTTCATCTTTTATTTACATGCACAGAAATAAAGTTGAACAATTAACAGGTAATGCTCACATCAAAGATCTCAAATCCAGCAATGTCCAGCACACCGATGAAGTACTGACGAGGCTGTTTGGTGTCCAAGGATTGATTTATCCTCACTACCATCCACAAAAACATCTTCTCATACACTGACTTAGACAGTGCACCAATGGCATAGTACACCTTTAAAAAAAGTCCAAGTTTGAGATATATAATAAGTAACACTTTGGTGAATGCATCCAGAAATATTTTGGT